AACACTACACAAAAAAGAATACAATTAATTGATTTTCAGTTAAAAATCCATAAAAAAGACAATTTTCCATACTTATCTATTAATTGTTGTTTGTTCCATTTTTATATTATTATTATTATTATTATTATTATTATTATTGATATTATTATTATTTCCTTTGGTTTCTGTTGCATCTTATTTTCTTCCGGGTCCCAATCAGAGATATAAGGTCAGAAATTCCACTAATCATTTCCGTAACAAAAAAATAAAACACACACACACACACACACACACACACAAATTTACAAAGATAAAGCTCTTCGTAATGTGTGACCTGTAATTTTCAGTACAATGTTTGCTTTTCTTTAAAGAATGGGCTACCAGGAATCCCTTCAATAAGACTATCGGAAAACTTTCTAATCAATCAGATGGTTCAATCTACAAGTGAAATTATTAATGTACTCACGTACCAGATTTTTTTGAGATTTCCACCTGAAGTTCCTTGTATCTTGATAGATTTTGAAGATCCTGAATGATACATTACAATTTGCCGGGACTGACATGCCAATAAGAAAGCACATTCTATTCCTGTCGTCTTTGACTAAAATGTCTGGGCGATTAGCTTTGATTGTTTTGTCTATGTGTATTGTAAAGTCTCATAAAATTGTCACAGGTCCTATCTCTCTAACCTGGTCTGCGTGATGCTCATACTAGTTTCTTTCTGTTTCTTTCCAGTAAAAGTTGCTTTTTTTCCAGTGCAAATATTGGCCCACTCTATCGTGCGCAATTTTATGTTCAGTTGGGGCTAATACTGTGGCACCTGATGTAAGAAGGTCACTTTTTTCCTGGGTATTTATAAAAGAATCTACATTTGTGGTCAACACAATTTTCAGTCTGTATGGTTGGTAATTTCTAGTTAAAAAAAACATTAGTCCTGTGCAACACGAATAAAACCTTCAGCTTTTAACCTTTTAACTTTTTAGCCTATTTGCTTGGGGCTGAGTACTGACCATTTGGTACATTGCATTTGATTTTGCTTTGTCTTTAAGCTTCTTTGCCGCTGCAGTTGGTGCATTATGGTTTATTTTCACTTCTTCGCCCACTTGAAATTCCCTTTTCAATTTTTTTGGCTCCATTTTTTACTGAATTATGTTTCTTATTTATTTCATGTTCTTTGACACGGATCATCATCCAGTCTTCTGTAGTTTCCACTTATCTTTGAGGAACGATAGTTGTGACTTAATAAAAAAGCTCTAATCTAATCCTCTGCCTCCTTCGGATCTGGACACAATTCGACGATCGATATCAGTCTTAGGATGATTCATACGGAGACAATAGAGAAGATTTCTCCTTTTAACATTTTGGCTTACTCTTAGATATGGTCCAATTAAGCATAGTGAAACCGTATTACATTATAGGGACAGCCAAAGTGTTTATAGCTGATATTCAGTTTTGTGAATTCGCTTCGGTATTTAATACCTGACGCACATGCCTTTAGTATTCATTTCATAGTTTCTTCTTCATTTGGATATCCATACAGATGCCATCACTAAAAAAATTACAGCATTGATCATACACTTCAATTCTCTATTATTATTATTATTATTATTATTATTATTATTATTTCCTTTGATTTCTGGCGTTTACACATTTCTTTCCGGGTGCCGCCCAGGGACCTAAGGTTAGAAATGGCATCATGACACTTTCCACTGACAAAAAAAATTACATAGATAAAGCCCTTCGTAAAGTGGGGGCTGTACTTGTCAGAACAATTTTTTGTATCTCTTTGAGGCATGGGCTTCCAGGAATCCTCTCAATTAGTCTACTGCAATCTTTTCCAACCAGTCCTAGGGCTCCAACTACAACAGGGATTGTTGATGTTCCCATATGCCACATTTTCGAGATTTCTATTTCTATGTCCTTGTATTTTGACAACTTTTTTGAATATCTTCAAAGATACATTGCAGTCAGCAGGGACTGCCATATCAATAAGGAGGCAATTTTTTTGTTTCTGGTCTTTAATAACAATATCTGGGCGGTTGGCTTTGATTGTTATTATTATTATTATTATTATTATTAATTGCTTTCGCTCACGCTTTGGAACAAATCCTTACGGGGACATTATCTGAGAAATGGTGTGAGACAATGTATAAAATATATGAATTCTATTTGTACATATTCGGATGTTAATAGATACTTAAAATTGACAAAACAAAAAATCCTATGTCTTATCAGTCCCCTCATATAACAGTATAATGCTTATTAATTTCCTTGAGGCAACAAAGACAACGAAGGAAATAAGTGACAAAAACGCTTTATGTTTATAGAAATAAGAAAGAGAGAGTTTATTTTTCACTAGCCTAGAAGCCGCCTTTCGGGCGGACTTTAGGCTGCCCACAGCGCCTTATTTACATAAAAGTTATAAGAATTTAGAAATAATAAAATTATTTTATCTTTATACGACACCTTAATTCGTCATAATCTTTCTTCGTATACGCAACTGATCTTCGTGGTTTGTTTACATTTGTTTTGCATTTTTTTATTTTCTTTTAAAATCATCATCCTTTATAACCCTTTATAACACATAAAGTCACTCTTATAAGACATTAGGGAACCCTAATCATGCAATATTTCGAATACGTTACAGGACACGTGTTAGAAAATCATATGAGCAACGTATCGTTCCCCTCTTAAGTTTAATTACGGTGTAAATAGATGTTATCAATTGTAGTTCCGTCGAAAAGCGAAATTAAACTTAAACCTTAATAAGGAATTGTTTTTTAAACCTTTCACTCTGTCTGATGTTTAAAATTAACTTTAAATTACTTAATCGCGTATAACTACAGTAGTTACTACTTGTTACTTCAGGGTTGTTTATGATTATCCAAGATCGAAAACCCGACGGGCGGACAGAAATACGTAAATAAATAGATATAAACAACTGTTCTATGTAGACATGGATGAATAATACTTGAATTGTACTAATATTTAGTTTAAGTGCTACGAGATTATTCCCAGCCATTTAACATAAAACATTTAAATAAAACATTTGTTTAATACTTACTAGCGGAACGAAACTTATACCTCACCTCTTTTCACCGCAGCTGTTGTTTTCTTAAAAATGACTCATGCGACCACTAAGAACAGTAATGGGGTTTATTTTTAAGCCTTTAAAGTTCTATAGATGTCGGTTGTCATGGAAACGTTAATGATTCCAGCGGCTTCTGTCGAGATGATGACGTAACATTACTTTCTGGGCGGTAAAGGGGCAGAAGAATGGCGCCATTCATGAACCCTCCAAAAGAAAAAAAAAAAACTCCTAAGCCGCGAACTCGCTCTTTTATAAGCAACTCTAAAGTGTCGTTAAACTCAAACGAGTCCATTTGCATTTGCCTGCAAAGATCCTATATGGCCAAAATAAACAAATCATTTACCTTTCCTTTTTCCCACTAGTATACAAAAAAACATTACTAAATCAAACGATAATAGACGTCTGCGATAAAAGAAAATCATTAAACTAGCAGAAAACAAAACATCTGTTTATATTTGGACCCTTAGATACATATTTTTAATTTGCAAATAGTATACAGTGTATGCACTGAATAAGTGTATATACGAAAAAGTAGCAAAATATGTTTTATTATTTGAATTTACAATATATACTAGCAGCATGGCCCGGCGTTGCCCGTGCTTGATTAAAAAATCGTACGACTCATACAGCAATCACTATCAATTGACTTAAAATATTTTTGTCCTTCCTTGCCTTTAAAGGAGTGCCCTTTGCCGCGCTGATGTTGCTACATGCCTTACTTCTTGCCTATCTCACACTGCTAATTTTTTCTAAGCTCTATACTAAACATTAAATCTGTTACGAAAAAAGAACTAAACAAAATGAACACAAAATGATCAGCTTTAAAAAAGGACTCGTAACTGGAAAACCGAATGAAAAAAGAATGTTAACAACAAATAATTTTTCACACCCAACACAGTTCTGCGGAATCAGAATCAACGTTGAGTTTAAGCAAGTGAATGAGCCAATTGGAGTAAAGTGCTATGCAGATTTAAATTTTCCCACTTGTGACGAATGCAGCTACAGATTTTTTTTTGCATGCTAGCATGCTAGTTAACATTCGTGTCAGTCAGCTGATGGCTCTTACGCTGGCCAATAGAATCTTCCTGCCTATTCGTGTCTGCCAGCTATTAGGTCTCACTCTGGCCAGTAGAAAATGGCTGCAAACTACATGAAAACTGCCGTAGTAGCATGAAAAAATCGATTATTTCTACTATCGATGGGAGTTGGGAAATGCAATGTCGGTCTTGGCCTTCCATCTAACTTGGAGCATGTGCATGCAAATTGTGGTGCAAATCTGTTTTGAGATTGATAGTCCATTGTTCTCGCTTTTCTTTCATCTCATAAAATGTCTGAATAGTGAATAAATTGTCCAGTAGCCACTGTTATATAGCAAGAGAGAAATCATATAGCAATTCAGGGTATTTTCTTTGTTACTTATAAAACTTACCAGTTTATTAATATTTTGCTTAGTTTCCGAAAGGCACTTACTTTGCTTTAATAGGCCATCACATTTTTGTGTCCCATTTTTTCTTATCAAAGAGAGAATTTAATTTATACATACATCGCTGTATAAGCATTTCATGTTCAAATTTATAATGCTAAGTTTGTTTTTATATATATGCTTTCATTTTCATTTTCTATGCTAACTTGTTTTTATGTCCTTTTAAGGATGATTATGTCGACAAAACGTGACGATTATAATTTGGCGGAGTGATGCTCTCAGAGAAAGAATCATTGACCCCCAAATAATAACCAACCCGATATGTTATATACTTTAAAAAGAAACCGAAATTACGCGAGCTGGCATATTCCGAAACAGGAGTAAAATAAATAATTAAGTAAATTAAGTATAAATAAGTAAAAAAAATGCGTAAAAAAGAGCGAATTAAAAAAATAAAAAAAATAAATTGCCAAACATGATCCAATTAGTACATTACTGGAAGTTGTGTTAATGTTCGGAAAGCAAGGGAGGGAGAAAAAGAAAGCGGTCAAGAGGAAAGAAGAAAGAGTAATAGAAAAAGGGAAAATAAATTTGGCAAAGACGAAGAAAGAAAAAGAAGAAAATAAATAAGGGTTGTTGGATAAAAAGAAAAAAAAAAACAATTCCGTGATGAAGACAAAAAATGTAGGGAAGAGGAAAAAAACTTAAGCTATAAGAGGTGTTAAGCGATATAAAAAACAAAAGTTTGATGTCGGAAAAGAAAAAAAAATATATATATATATGAAGCCGGCAAAGAGTCGAAGAAAAAAAAATCACTGAAAGAATTCAGGAAAAGGAGAAAAGGACAAAGTAAAGAAAGAAGATGTGTTACGTTTAAGGCCATATCACGTTGAAACGCCGATTGTTGCACGTCTTCCGAAGTTAAGCAACGTCGAGCAAGGTCACTACCTAGATGAGTGACGGTTTGGGAAAAACAGGTAATATAAGCTTGGGATTCCAGGTAGTGTAAGCCTGGGAATACCAGGTACTGTAAGCATGGGGATACCAGGTGCTGTAGGCTTGGAAATACCAGGTACTGTAAGGTTGGGGATACCAGGTGCTATAGTCTTGGGAATACAAGGTACTGTAAGCTTGTGAATACCAGGTAGTGTAAGCTTGGAAATACCAGGTACTGTAAGCATGGGAATACCAGGTGCTGTAAGCTTGGCAATACCAAGTGCTGTAGGCTTAGGAATACCAGCTGCTATAGGCTTGAGAATATCAGGTGTTGTGGCTTGATATTACCCGGTGTTGTAGGCTTGGTTTTACCAGCTGCTATAGGCTTTAGAATACCAGGTGCCGTAGGCTTGGGATTACCAGGTGCAGTAAGCTTGGTAAGACCAGGTGCTATAGGCTTGAGAATACCAGGTGGCGTAGGCTTGGGAATACCAATTGCTGTAAGTTTGGCAATACCAGGTGCTGTAGACTTGGGAATACAATGTGCTATAGGCTTGAGAAGACCAGGTGCTGCAAGTTTGAGAATGCCAGTTGCCGTAAGCTTGGGAATACCAGGTGCTGTAGGATTGGGAATACCAGGTGCTCTAGGCTTGTGGATATCAGTTGCTGTAGGATTGGGAATACCAGGTGCCATAAACTTGAGAATACCAGACTTGGTAATACCAGGTTCTGTAAGCTAGGGAATACCAGGTGCTATAGGCTTGAGAATACCAGGGGTTTGGGCTTGCTATTGTCAGGGGTTGTAAGCTTGGTAAGCTTGGTAATACCAGGTGCTGTAGGATTGGTAATACCAGGTGCTATCGGCTTGAGAATAGCAGGTGCCGTAGGCTGGGAGTACCAGATGCTGTTAGCTCTGGTATACCAGGTGGAGTAGGCTTGAGAATACTAGGTACTATATGCTTGACATTACCAGGTGCCATAGGCTTAGAAAAAACAAGTATTGTATGCTTGGGAATACCAGGTGCTGTAAGCTTGGGAATACCTGTTGATGTAGGCTTGTGAATATCAGTTGCTATAAGCTTGAGAATACCAGGTGCCGTAAGCTTGTGACTGCCAGCTGCTATAGGTTTGGAAATACCAAGTGTTGTAGGCTTCTCAATACCAGGTGCTACAGTCTTGGGAATAGCAGGTGCTGTAGGCTTGTTTTTACCAGCTGCTATAGGCCTGAGAATACCAGGTGACTTAGCCTTGGAAATAACCGGTTCTGTAAGGTTGGGAATACCAGTTGCTGTAGGCTTGGAAATACCAGGTGCTATAGGCTTGTGGATACTAGTCACCGTAGACTTGGGAATACCAGGTGATGTAAGTTTGGGAATACCAGGTGCTGTAGGATTGGGAATACCAGGTGCTCTAGGCTTTGTAGTACCAGGTGCTGTATGCTTGCGAATATCAGGTGCGATAGGCTTGAGAATACCAGTCGCTGTAGGCTTGGGAATACCAGGTGCTGTAAGCTTGGGAATATCAGTTTCTAGGATTGGGAATACCAGTCGCTGTAGGCTTGGGAATACCTGGTGCTGTAAGCTTGGGAATACCAGTTTCTATGATTGGGAATACCAGGCGCTGTAGGCTTAGTAGTACCAGTAGGCATCCGCCGGGAGATGTTATGAATCCATCTTTTCTCTCTCTAGCTATGGGTTAATTAGTAAGACGTGTATCATTAATTATTAACTTCTCTCTAAAATTCTTAAAATCATAAAATATTTTCTCGTTTCTAATAAACTGCAAAAAAGTTTATAGACCATAAATAAACAAACGTGTAAGAGAGCAACTGAATACGAAATAAATAGGAGGTATGTCTGAAAAGTAACGGGACCGGTATCAGAAACACTTTATTTCAATTCCAATCAAAAAAAAATATACATGGTTTCCCCTCCTAAACAATCTCCCTCGAGTCTAACGCATTTTTCCATCCTTCTCGTCTACAACTCTAATTACGGCCGAAAGTATTCTTCTTGGATGCTCTTCAGCTCCGTCATTACGGCCCTCTTGGTGGCCTCAACGCCTGCAAAACGAGTCCTCTTAAGCTTGGAGAAAAGAAGAAAGTCGCATGGAGCGAGACCAGGTGAAAAGGGATGTTGTTCCAGGGCGTCGTTGTTCTTCTTGGCCAGGAACTGTCGGATGCCCAGGACGTTGTGAGCAGGTGCATTGTTGTTGTAAAGCAGCTATGATTTGTCGTGCCACAACTCTCGTCTCTTCTCGCGCACTGAGCGAAGTAAACGCCGAGTGATCTTTTTGTATCCTGTCTGATTGATCGTCTATGGCAAGAGCTCACTGTTGATGATGCCTCTAACATCGTGGGACGAATAAGTCCCATTACTTTTCAGACAGAACTTGCATAGTGGAAAGAATTTGAATTAAGGAAAGTAAGGCAGAGAGGAAATAAAAATACAAGTGAAAAGAAAGATAAAACAAGAGAAAATGTTGAAGGGGAGATGATTTAGTTTGAATGAAAAAAAGAAAAGTAAAGAGTAATATAGAGAAGGAAATGAACAGTAAGATATGATGAAGAAAATAACAGAAAGAAAGAAAAGAGGGAGGGGAAAGAGAATGAATTAAAGAAGGAAATTTATGGAAAGAGAAATAGATAGAATATACGAAGGATAAAGGAAATAAACCGGGGAAGGATAAATAAATGAAATTAGAAAGAAAATGAGAGTTAGTAGCAGGATGAAGAAAAGAAGAAAAAAAAGTGAGAAGCAAGAAAGAGACGTGAAAGCAAATATATTGAGTAGGGAGGAAAAAGGAGGAGAAACATATACAATTGGTTAAATATATGGAGAAGAAAAGAAACGAAAGTCGGAAGAAGAGGAAGAAGATGAGGAACGAACACGAAGGAGTGGAAGAAGTAAAGCAAAGGTCGGGAGAGAAAGAGAGAGAGAGAGAGGAGCAATGAATGCGTGAGAGAGAGATAGAGAGTGAGGGGAATAATAAAAGCAGGGATTGTAAGAGAAAGGAAGAAAAAGGAACGAACGTGAGAGAGAGAGGAAGATGAAAAGCAACGAGTGTGAGAGAGAGAAAGGAAGAAGAAAAACAACGAATGAAAGAGAGAAGCGGAAGAAAAGGACGAATGTGAGAGTGAGGAAGAAGAAAAAGAGCGAACATGAGGGAGTGGAAGAAGTAAAGCAAGGGTCGGGAGAGAGAGAGGGAGAGAAAGAGAGAGAGAGAGAGAGAGAGGAGCAATGAATGCGTGAGAGAGATAGAGAGTGAGGGGAATAATAAAAGCAGGGATTGTAAGAGAAAGGAAGAAAAAGGAACGAACGTGAGAGAGAGAGAGAGAGAGAGAGAGGAAGATGAAAAGCAACGAGTGTGAGAGAGAGAAAGGAAGAAGAAAAACAACGAATGAAAGAGAGAAGAGGAAGAAAAAGACGAATGTGAGAGTGAGGAAGAAGAAAAGGAGCGAACATGAGGGAGAGGAAGAAAAAAGGGACGAATATGAGAGAGAGGAAGAAAAAGGTCGAAAGTGAGAGAGAGGAAGATAAAAAGGAAAAACACTGAGAGAGGGGAAGAAGAAAAGGGATGAATATGAGAGTGTGGAAGATGAAAATGAATGAATGTTAAAGAGGGAAAGAAGAAAAAGAACGAATGTGAGAGAGGAAGCAGAAAATCAATGTCTGTGAGAGAGATGAAGAAGAAAATGAATGAATGTTCGAGCGTGACGAAGAAGAAAAGCAACAAAAGTGAGAAACAAAATGAAGAAAATAAACGAAACATGGAAGAAAGAAAACGATGAAAAAAAGGGAGGGTATTTGCGTTGAATGAAAAAGAAAAGAAAAACTCTTATACCCACTGTGGGCACGTATACCAACTAAACAATAGGGTCACAAGCGGACATTTTACATTTGAGATATATTCAAAGACTGATAGGTGCTATAGTTAATCTCAAAGGGGGACGTCACTGGATTTCAAAACGGGTTTTAATTTGTCCTTAATCCAAGTGTTTGTCAAGTTATTGTTTGAAGTTAAATACGCATATGTTGAATCATGTGTTTTTAGATGATCAGTCCTGGATATTTGATTTTATAAAGTCTTTTTCGCGGAAAGTCATTAGAATCTTTTTGAAACTGGCCCTATAAGGTTTAACTTGACAGTTTAAAAAATTGCCCTATTTCAAATTGAATTTCGGAGCCTAAAATATAACATTAAGTGAAATTAATATATTTTGACATAGTAAGCCTGCTTTTTTGTCTCTGACGTTACAATTTTGAATAACGTTAACACAATATGCACGGGAAAACTTTTTTCCCCTTTGTAAGTCTGCAACTATTAAAATTTATTAATCGTAAATTCACAACTATTAAAATTTATTTATTGCAAATTCGCAAATATTTAAATTTATTGGTTGTAAATTCACAACTTTTAAAATTTATATATTGTAAGTTCGCAACTATTAAGATTTAATTTATTGTAAGTTTGCAAATATTAAATTTATTTATTGTAAGTTGGCAAATATTAAAATCTATTTATTGTAAGTTCACAACGATTAAAATTTATTTATTGTAAGTTAGCAACTATTAAAATTTATTTATTAAAAGTTGGCAACTATTAAAATTTAGTTATTGTAAGTTCGCAGCTACTGAAATTTACTGTACGTTTGCAAATATTAATTTTTTTTTTATTTTTAAGTTCGCAACTATTAAAATTTTTTGTAGTTTCGCAACTTTTAAAATTTATTTATTGTAATTTCGCAACAATTAAAATTTCAATTTCGGAAAATGTAAGAATAGGTCGAAAGTGAAAGAGAGGAAGATAAGCAAAAACTCTGTGAGAGAGGAAGAAAAGGGATGAATATGAGAGTGTGGATGATGAAAATGAATGAATGCGAGAGAGGAAACAGAAAATGAATGACTGTGAGAGAGATGTTTCAAAGTACTCTCTTTCTTATAGTAAGTTGATCATTACCTTCTGTTGGCACCAATACTTGCTAAAATAGTGGCTGTAAAGAGTCCTATTCTCTCAGATTCGAAGAGACAAAGGTAGATACGAATAATGTATGCACTACTTTCATAAAATATATGCCGATAAGAAAAAAATTCTTAATACGTAGTTGACCCGAGTCCGCTATATTGAGTTGCCATATAAAGACTCTATATGTGCTATGCATATTAATTGAGAATGAGTAAAAAAAAAGAAGCTTTCTTAATACATGATTCAAGAACATGTCTCCTGTAATAATTACCGTTCTGTAACAGAAAAATCAAACACTATCTTTCCGAATTCCTCTTCGCCATGTTTGATGTCTTCAGAAGCAGTGCAGCTATCTTCAAAAGAAACTATCATTACAGCCTCGTCTCAAACAGCATTCTATTACAATTTTTTTCCCCTTCAGGAAGCAGACATTCATCAGCAAGGCTGATGCTAACCTTCAAGAGAGCAATTCTCGGATTCATGTTTCCAACTGACATGAAATGGATTGATTATATAGAATCATTCAAATAGATATTCACAGTGTCGGGCCAGACAGTTTTCCTTGTCAGAATCCAAATGTCTTTTTTATGTACCATGCCCTCTCAGGACGTAGGCGTTCATGGCGCTCCACAAGTTCCTGTCTTTTGTTGATCTTTATAAATTATTGATCATAATCTGGTGGCGCAGCTGCGGTCACTATCCCACTATTGTAATAAGCCTTTCTATGCCCTTTCTATAAATAATTTCAGGGTAATTATAAGAATGTGCTCTTCCCTATGAGATATAGAGTTTTTGAACATAAGCGCAGCACTAGACTGGCGTCGAGATCTCATTTATTTACAGTTAGGCTGGTTAGATGTAACCGTAAGTTCGAAGCCAACAATTTTTTTTTCTTTCGCTTTTCTCGCTTGTGAAACTCCCTTTGGCCTGCATGTTTTCTAGCCAACTTTAATCTGCAAAAATTTAAATGCAATGCCAATCGCTATCTCCTGTCACTTACTCCCTTCTCTTTCTGCTAATCATTAATGTTTTTGTTCCTAAATCTTCAACTCTTACTGTTAGTTGCATTACTGTCTTGCTTGGGGTGATACCGATTTTTAAAAAAAAATATATATGTCTATATTTCTGAGATGAGGTATTATGTACACTATTTACATTATTCGGACTGTTGTCCTCATCTTTATCGCCATATTTATAACAAGTATAGAACCAAGCATATGCGACCAAGCATAGAAATGAATACAATAGAGGAACCAGTAATAAGGAGTTCCAGAGAAAATTGATAATAACAACAAATATTGCAATATGAGCTCTGGTAAAAACATGAATGATAGCGGCAAAATTGCAATATGAACACTGGTAAAAAACAGATCCTGAAGACATTAGGTTTATAATACCCAAAAATTCAAGCAGATGTTCTCATGGACCAGTGGATAAAGGAATTGGTTAGATCCAGTGACAGAACCTAAAGATTGTGAGTTCAATACCCGGTTAAGGCAGTGGAAATTAACTGATAACTATCATCCATTAAATCATGGTGAGGAAAATAAAGGGTTCAGTTCGACATTCCAAAGAAGGTCGGAGCGTACAACGTCCGAAACGTAGTTATAAATATGGCGACAAAGATGTAGACAATAGTGCGAATCATGTAAATAGTGTAAAAAAAAGTGTATTTTCGTTATTCCTCATAAAACGCTTTCCACTATCCACTTAAGCTCATCAAGGTTATGCACAGTTTTCCTCTGTCCCTCTTTCCTTCAATTTGTCTTTCCTCATGGGGTACCTCAGAAATTTCAGCTCTCTCTTCATGATGTTTAGTATAAGTTTCCATTTCGAGGCACCTCGAGGCGGTCTAATGGTTAGCAAGTTTGTCTCGCTAGAACAATTACGACTGAGTAGTGAGTTTGATATTCACTGAGTACCCCATACTTTCGGCCTTGTGCCGCATCTAAGCTTGTTGTCTCGCTAGAACAATTACGACTGAGTAGTGAGTTTGATACTCACTGAGTACCCCATACTTTCGGCCTTGTGCCGTAACTATGCTTTGAAAATCGCTGTAAATTTCCGTTTTCTCTAAAACCCCGTCGTTGCTCACATATTCCGTCAATCGTATCCTCAGCATCGTTCTGTGGAAACCGCATTTGCTTCAAGTTGCTTTAAGCCTCTTCCGCATTCACTGCCATAGAGGAGGACGAATATCACGTAACAGTTCAGTACACTTTTCTTTATTTCTAAAGAATTTTTCTTCTGTTTTTTAATACTTTGCTTAGCTTTTCAAAGGCACCTTTGACTATCACAATGCTTCATCGGATTTCAGTGTCGCACTTTCCCTATTCTGTTAGAACAATTCCCACATACTTAAATTTTTGTACTTGTTCGATTTTGGTATCATCGTATCTGTAATTTGCATTTGTCGATCTTACTTTTACTAACTAATCATGCATTCAGTTTTATAGTTTATGTTTAGTCCTTTCTTGTCGCTTTTCTTCGCTACCTTCTGTAAGAGTTTTTGTAGTTTTCTCTCCGTGTCTGCTATCAAGAGTGTGTCATCTGCATATCATGTCGTTAAGATTGTGATCTTATACTCCTTTCTATTTTTGTATATATGCTGAACTCGTTTTCTATTTGTATACAAGAATTCATCTTACACATTTATAAATCAATCATTTGTAGATGTAATGAATATTGCTTCCATATCTGCTCTGGTACACCTGCTATATATATATATATATATATATATATATATATATATATTTGGCAGCAAACACCAATATCATCAAAAAATAAAATTAAAATTAAAAAATTCATACTCAAAATTTCCGTTCCTGTTTTTCGAAGTGCCTGGAAAAAAGTCTAAATTAGCTTAAGTTAAATATTGACATAGCTAGATGTAACCATACGTTTTTTTCTTATCGTTTCTTTTCCCACATATCAAAATTGTTGGACCCTTTACAGTTTCTTGCTTCCTTGTCAAAATTGCAACATCAATCGACATCTTCTTTTGACCAGTTTTTTATTGTTCTCTCTCCTCACAAAAATCTTTTCATTCTCTTTCACTCTCTCTGACCGTTAGTAACTTAATGGCATTATCGCTTTTCATGGAGTTAAATGAATAAAAAACAAGTCACATTTCAGAAATTCTGTCTTATCACAACAGACAAAGTTTTCTCGGTCTGGACCCTTACATTTAATTAGAAATGTGAATATCTTAATTTAACATTCTTCTTAAGTGCAAATAACATTAATACATTTCCATAATTGAATTCAACTCATTTACGGAGCCCAAAAACAGAAAATGTCCGCTTGGCTCGTTTATGTGAGCAAACAGCGAAAAATAGCTCCGATGATTAACCCTTCATTTATAACCCTTCTACTAAATGTCGACATATGAAAGCTGACTTCCGAACAAATTCTGAAATTCCTCTAATTTCCGACATGTTGAAAAACCATCGATAGAGTAACAAAATCCAGATCACTATATTTCCATTTTCATCTGCCATAACCCAGAGTTTTTCAAACTATAGGTCTCGACATTACAGAAAATGTCGAGACCAAAATTTGGGCACAGCTGGCTACCTTTCAGGGCGCATTAATACGATCATGCGTGCCGGTTGAGAAACACTGGCGCATAATGACAATTTATCCTTATAGCCTAGTGGATTATTGGAGGAACGGCGGATGAAAGGTTAGCGGCTCGGAATGAGGATGTTTCTTTACGGTAGACATGAGAACTTAAATGTTTTCCGTTGAATCACTAGTTCTCGGAATATCGAAGTTAAGCAACTTCAAGTTTGGTTAATACCTATAGGAGTGACCGCTTAGGAATACCAAGTGCCGTAAGCTTGGATGTGAGAAGTTGTCATGGATAACGGCTTGGAATTGAAAATCGGAGATCAGAGTTCCAATTCCACTCGAGTTCATTACATCCACGTACGTGAAAGGTATAGATTCATCTCTTCTCTCTAGCTATGGGTGAATAGTAGGACATATTGGACCATATAGCCTTAGCTGGTAACCAGTAAAGCAGATGGAAATCTCTGAATTCAAAGCAGGCTATGGATGCAGTAGATAGTGAGTTTCCAAGCATAGCTTAGATGTGGCACAAGTCCAAAATTAGGGGGCACCCAGTGAGAATCGAACTCACTACTCAGCCGTAATAGTTCTAGCGAGACAAGCTTGTTAACCATTACACCGCCTCGAGGTGGCCCAGTGCTTTTCCAAGCATAGCTTAGATGTGTCACAAGTCAAAAATAAGGGGGCACCCAGTGAGAATCGAACTCACTACTCAGCCGTAATAGTTCTAGCGAGACAAGGTTGTTAACCATTACACCACCTCGAGGTGCCCCGATGGATGCAGTAGATATGGTGACCCTAATACCCTAAGGGGTTAGAGGATACTTGATGGTGAATAATGCTAATCCGGATCATAATAATGCTATATCGCCATGACATAAATTTAGAGGTACAGTGTGTTGCATAGCTCCCTCGTTATCGGGAAGTCTTTAGGTTGACGGGGCCGATTCCATAACATATCATCTTTCTGGTTTCTTTCTTCTCTTGGCCGGGTGATCGCTAGTTGGTTTGTTCGGAGGTAAAATGACAACAACATTAACAAAAAGGGATTTTAAAATTATTTGATAAAACATATCGACGTGTTTATCTAGTTAGTGGGGTCGCTCTATAATTGGGGAGCAAATTCCCCGAGAAACGAAATAACCACGCCTACTGTGTATGACGTGTAAAACTTAACTCATTGAAATCGCTTTCTGTCTCGCTAACATTCTCACGTTACTTTTAACGAATAAAAAACGATTACTTTTGTTTTCCTGTTTCACACCTCAAAGGTGAAAGTGATGAAGTTAGAGGAAAATACAATTCTCTAAAAAAATAATAGGTTGTTAGACAATTATTTAACACAGTGAAAACAATGAATAACCTATTTTCCCATTTTCTGGCATCCATTCACAAAAGCACATCAAGTAGATTTCTCATCATATCAGGTCATCCCATAAGTTCTGTCCGAATTTTGAATAAAGAAAACAAGTGACCAAATGTTACATTTAATTACAGATTCAATCAACAACGTATTTTCCCTGATTATCTATGACTTCCTTCCATCTATTACCAAGCTTACTAATTCCATTACTGTAAAATTCTTTTGGCTTTGATTCGAAGAACTCAAAAATGTCAGTTTTAACCTCTTTCTGTGTTACAAAAGCTGTTTCTTCCAAATGATTCTGTAAGCTATGAAAC